ACACACACACACACACACACACACACACACACACACACACACACACAAGAGCACAGACCAACTCTTTGCTCACTCTGAGCAGACCCAACGCCCAGGAGCATGGAAAGCAGAAGCCACAACATTTGGTGTGCTGTGCTCGGTCAGGTCTTCTACAGCTGATTGTGAGAAGAATACTGTTTAAACTGGAATCATAAGAATAAGTGAAATGAGAGGTCATTGTGAGTGTGGTTCTCTGTTATATGTAGAACTCTGCACTTTCCATTTGTCTGTAAGTAAACATGTTAAGTGCTGCGGATGTATAAAAGAACAGACTTGTGCGGACAAGCTCTGCAGGAGGCCATGTTTGTCTGAAGAACGTGTGCATGTTTGAGGTCACACTGTGGGGCATGACCCCAAAATGTCACCTCATCTCAGCACACCCCTACAGTTACAAACTAACTCATTTATAGTCACATGTAGGACAATTCAACATGCATGAACGCAGGACGAGACATCTAGCTAATTAAGACAGAGTCTATTATTGGCAGGGTTATAACACTGATAATTGGACTGACCATGACTAATGTGAAAATGATGGTGGTAGTTAGGACGAGAAATACAGACAGAAAATATAGTCCCCCATGTTAAAAAGCCCAACTTTACAGCAGAAATAAGCACGTTTACGTTCATGACAACTGAATGGGAGTTGAATTCTTATACAACTTTAAACGATACCAAGGCTCAAAGCCGGGCATATGGCCGCTTTGAGTGACAGGTGGGTCTCTCTGACGGCTGGAGCCACCCACTCTAAACTTCAAAACGGGCCCTTCAGAAACCTCCGACTGACTACGTCCATATTTCATACAGTACTTGTTTAATCTTAATAATTAAGCAGGCACGGTCTTCTAACTCGAAGGCTACTCTCAGGCAATGACAGACAGCAGCCAGGCACAGACGAGGGGCTGAGGTTACAGTGAGCAGAAATTGACAAAGGCCTTCAGGACGAGGCGGCGCTGCCACCTGTCCCCCGAAACACGAGTGCGTCACACCCGGCTGGCCGCTCATTGTCTGTGAGACGGAGCAGAGAGAGCCCTGCAGAGGGATACCTTTAAATATCAGAGCGCTGATGTCACAGTTCTTCTTCTCGCCTTCTAATCTCACTCTCCCAGTCAGTCACCTCTTCTCTTTCTGGAATATTTGAATACAAAAAAAAACAATCTATGTGGTTTATAAAGACTCATAAAAGCAGCTTAGATAACAAATATGATGCTGTCTCCTCACAGAGAAGTTATAATACCCTGTGAAACACATGAATGAAAGAATATGGCCCAGTCTCATAGCTCTGACAACACTGAAGAATTAATGCAGTGACTTCTCATTTATTCATTACATGACACATCTCAGGCTAATGAGATTCCATTTCCATTCATCACACCAGGATGTGTCTTTTAGGCTCGACTTGGTCAGATGAATAGCTGCCTTGTACGTGCACTGAACTCAATTTGCATTGGGCCAAATGGACACGTTCAGAATCCTACAAGTCTCTCGTCCTTTTACTCTGGACCTTCGCCTGTAAGTGGATTATAAACAGGTGGTTATCTTAACAATTATCTTATTTATTATTATCTTATGGTTGTCTTATTGTGTTATTAGAGTTATCAGTCACAACTAAGTGGAAGCATTACATATTGTTTTTACCTTTGCTGTTTTCTACAAGCTGGTAGAGTATTCTCTTCTGTAAACGTATTAACACATTTCCATCTATAACAACGTTTCCATATTTAAGCAGATGCTGTCCTTCTTGTAGCTTGTTGGGTTTACTCTGCTTCCGTTATACATTTGGGTTGCAGGCTTGGATTCCTTCCAGCAATCATGTAAAAAGGATTCTAACAGGAGAGGGATTATGACTGCTGTTGGCTGATCTGATGTTCAAAGTCTTTTTGTAGAACAGGGTATAGCGGCGGTAGAGAGACTGTGTTGAAGGCAGACACAACGTCATGCATCTGAAAAAGCACTAACCCACTTACGCTGGATGGATATTGGCTCGATCTTATGAGATCATATATTGGATCTCTCCAGTAACCTGTCATGTGTGTGACTGTAAAGAATGGCTCTGCAGAGGCACAGTGGGTCTGAATAAACCTGCTTACTTACAAAATATACATATTTGTTCTATTTGTGCAGTGTTGCCATCAGTGGCAAGTTTCCGTGCTTGATTTGAATTTTTCTTAATGAATTTAACCTTTCCAGAATGTTAGCTTTGTGTCTGAAAGGTCAGTCGCAGTAGAGGGATTATATTGTGTAGCCTAAAATATGTTTAGTTACATCTCAGGCAAGAAATGCTTTGCCTTCATTGCAGTGCAGCTCCTTCTTGTTTGTATCACATTCATAGTGTTTTGGGACTTGCATGAACATGAATATCACTGTTTGGATTTTTATGTATTCAAGTTTTACGCAAGATTTGAGAATTATGTTCCCAGAACTTTTTCAATACATCTTTCATATAGTTTTAAACATAGTTATAAAGTGAAAATGGTGAACACCGCACAAGAGTTCTGCTTTGTGCATTTAAGGGCGACTTCACTCTGCGACTTTACTTTTCTGTGATGTTCACGGCATTTGCAGAACTTGAAAAACGACAAATGCGTTTCTGTCTCTCCTTAACGCAAGTGGCTGGGTGAAGCCTGGTGAATACATGAGTATGATATTATTTGAATGCTTCAAAGCGAGAGGCATGCTGTATGAATCTCAGTACAAACAAACTGCACATGAATAGAGGAACACACCATAAAGACACAAGGTTAAACGGAGTGGTTCCGTACTGATTGTTGGGGCCGTAACTATCAGAATAAGGTTTCTATAGCAGGCGAATAAAAAGGAACGAGCCAAGCAGCTGTGAAACACAGACGTGCGCTCGTGTTTGCGGCGCACGTGCACTCGCCACACAGAATAATGCAAACGAGCACACACACACACACACACACACACACACACACACACACACACACACACATTCATTCCTGTGTGTCGAGAAACTTGAGATAACAATTACAGAGCCCTAATTTCCTATGTTTTCCAGAAAAAAAAAGTTATTTAATGGTTGTGTGATTTGAAAAAAAAAAAAAGAGGAGAGAGAGAAGAAAGGGTCTTTTTGGTATTAATGCGAGCTAACTAGAACCCCACACATGGTTCTGTTTTCAGCTAAGCCCCTTGCGTGACTGGCTCTTTTCAGTTGGCAGGCGCTGCGTAAGGCTGAGTGCAGTCGAACAATCAAGATATGGCCGTGTTGACGTTTGGTTTATCGGGGAAGCTTTTAAGATGGGAAAGATTCCATTGTTTTTATCAGCGGAGGTCAATTAGATCGAGCTCTCTGAGAAAGCTGAAGCAGGAGTAAACTTTATAAAGGGTGCATTTATTATAAATCAACTCTAGTTGCTTTCCCGTGCACTTACTTGTTGAATTCATCCTACATCAAACAGTACAAGATTAAAGAACAGATTGAAGTAATGAAGTCAATGCTGTAAATATAATCTAAGTTTGAAAGCTTGCTTCATGTCCAAAGCACAACATACAGTTTTGTAGTTGGAAAAAGTTGCCAACATCTACAGTAAATTAATTTAGTGGTCCGATTTGGCCAAAAATGAGCACGTGGACAGAGAACGGATCGAGGTCATGCCTGCACTTCATCAAATATTCATTTTGTTTTCCTGAGGGAATGCTTTCTAAGATAAGAGAAAGGGGAGAGTGAAAAAAGGGGGAGCAGGTTAAGGGGGAGGGGAGTAGTACAAGAGTACAACTGAGCGAGAGACAGAGGGAGAAAATGAGTTAAAGGTACAGTTAGCTACAAGGAAAGCTGACTTTCTGTAACAATGTCAGTGAGTCTTAAAGGACTGAAGTTCATTTTAAGCTCCGCAACAAGACTCACCGAAGTTCCCCCAGAATCCATGGCTATGATGCTGTGACCAAAAGCCCTGCACTGCTAACAACACAGGGAAAGCAGACGTACATGCAATATTTGGGTACACGCCGTCACTTTCTGCAGTCCTGATTTTCTTCGAAAGACAGGAAGGCAAAGACTTGTAACCAGAGAGGCCCAGAGGAGCATGTCACTCAGCACCCTCCTCTACAGCACAGGCCACGCTCAGGCTTTAGCTCCTGGGAGAACAAACACATGTCTACCGAGTCAGGTTAAGCTCTCTTATGTATGCGAGCAGAGAAGAGAAATATCTGTGCAGGGGTAAGCGAATCACTTATTAATGTTCGGTTTCTAAGGAGTTGCTGTCCAAAAACAAAATGATTCAGCCTGGAGTAGCTGAAGAGAGAGGCCGTGCTGAACCGCACCATCTGCTCTGATAAATATATCAATAATCAGCTGCAGATCATCACAGCGCAGAGATTTGCGCTCGGCACAGAACGACCTCAACGCTGCTCCCGACACCGACAGTGACGTTAGCAACTGTAGGCACAGTCAGGATAATCTAATCAGAATAAAAAGAGTTTACTGTGTACCGACAACATCTGGCCTTAACCTTATTAACCTTAATATGTTATGCGATGGGTCAAAAATGTAAAGCAAATCAATATAAAACAATAACATATATCCTAAACACAACGATTCGTTATTTCCACTTGTCTAATCATGATCAAGTATAAATCCAAATATCATGGTTCAAGCAGTTAACAAGTAATGACATCAAACTTAGAAATAACTAGTATTTATGTATGGCACAAAAAAAACACTGGTAAGTTGTTAAAGTACTTGATTAAATAAGATTGTTGTCCACACAATTCATGCTAGGTTTGGACACTTGTAGGATGCTTAAACTTCAGTGGAAAATTGCCTTAGTAAAACACGAGAAAGAGTACACAAAATCACTACCAGATGTATATTCACCCCCCCCAAACTATGGTCCATTCACAATCTACCAGTATGATGAAGGTGAATGAGACTACAGCCATCCTCAGAATAGCTGAGTGTGTAATAACGTATAACTACTCAAAAAGATAATTATAAACACTGACTATCATGTGGAGGAACAACGCTGAGAAGCTGTTTGTAAAATGTGCCCGTCTGCTTTCATTGACTACCACACTGCCAAATAACGCCGCGAGAGGCCAGAGAACAGAGAGGCGGGGTCAGCCACCGAGTGGCTTTCCAAAAAGATCTTTCTGGTGAAGCTGTGGGCCCGGTGAGAGCAGAAGCGCCCACTGTTTGACTTCTGATTGGTTGTTCTACCTATTGATCTGCAACATGGCTTCCAGCTCTAATGAATAATGAATGGTCATATTGTCATCCCACACAGATCAAGTTTCACATGGCAGCGGACTGCTCTGGTAATTAGCCAGGACTTGGCCGGCCTGCAGCTTGCTGTGTTGAACTTGCCAACCACTGCAGTGCAGAGAGAGAGAGGGAGAGAGAGAGGGAGAGAGAGAGAGAGGGAGAGAGACAGAGACAGAGGGAGAGGGAGAGAGAGAAAGAGGGAGAGAGAGAGAGGGAGAGAGAGAGACAGAGACAGAGAGACTACTGCAGATAAACTGCTGGCACTTTATGGGATCTCATATAAAGTTTCTAATCATATCCTATATGTTTGTAGAGATCTTTCATCTTAGATCCAGCGTATAGATGTGGAACTGTTTTTTTTTATTTTCACAGAAACTGAGCAGATGATCAAGAGAAGTATGGAAGAGGAAAATTACTATGATGTCAGAATTGGAGGAGCAATTATACGTATGTTGTCTATTTGACCTAGAAACTATAACTTATGCTTTTCTGATTCTGTAAGAGGAAAGCTGTACGACTGGTGATATTTGGTGATTATTTGGGGGCCTGACAAATGGATCAGCGCTCAACTGCAGACAGTTGGTAGCCCACATCGATGGTTGTCAACTTAAAAAAAGATGTGGCTGTTAAGATTTCCTGCACAAAGCTTTCTTCCTGGTATTTACTACATAATCCTATTACATGTGATATCATGAGTTTTTGGTTGCTCTTAAAACGTGTTCCTTTCACGGGACAATGTGTGTGTGTGTGGGGGGGGGGGGGGGGGGGGGGGGGGGGGGGCGGGGGGGGGGAATGATGTCACTATGTATAACAGTAAGCCTGAGGAAAACACCCATCAAGCGGATGGATTTAGACCCTTTCTCTTTCCCTAATTACTGCAAAGTGCTTTAACGCTACACACTGCATACTGCAGGGATCGAGCCACTTCACCTCTTATGACAATCCAGAATCAAAGCGTCTTTATTATGAACATCAGCTATCCAAGAGGACGCAGCAGCCCTGACTTTGTTTACATGAAAATCAAGACATGAGTGAGTTCATGCTGAGGTAAACTGCAGGTTATATGTCATCTATGATGTATTTGTATTAAGGGGATGACAAGCTTTAGGCAGAGGAGTTGGTAACAGTGGCCTGAAGGTTTAAGACAGCAATCTTACGACTGGAAGGTCGCTGATTACGTTGGCCTTGAGCAAGGCACGTAATCACACCACCAGTGCAGCTGCTCAGATGCCCACAAACAAGACTGCGGTTGTTCCAAGCGTCTCCTTGATGTGGACGTGTGTAAACATGTCAATTATTGCTGAAAATAAGCAACCTACCTAGGGTAAATAAAGCACTAACCACCTTACAAGCGCAACTTGAAATGAACTCGGTGTCTATTACTCGTCAATGCTTCAAAGCTAACTGAATGCTGTACAAGATGCTGTGACAGTTATGCAACGCGAGGTACAAATTAGCGGATCGTGTTGTGCGAGTCAGCGAAAAAGGTGTTCTCTTACCTGCAACAGGTGAGTCAGCTGCGATCACTGTCACCAACACCGTCATCCCCAGAAACACCGCACGCCGGCCACGGGCGTGCATGAGAGCCTCGAGCATCACCACCAAACCCACAGAGGAGACTAAACCTGCCATGGTGCGGCGGGGGGTGTGGTCAAGGCATTTCATCCAATTAGGAAGAGAAGATTCATTCCCGAAGAGACAATCGAGGTTTGGGGTATTTCAGGCCTGCCCGGTTTGGTCTCCTTCAGTTTAAGGCCCCTCCTTCCATAACACGTGCTCAGCAGAGAAGAACGACTGCTGAAAACAAAAGAGCAACAGTGTGACGCTCAAAACAACATTTTCTCTGACTGCTTGAGCACCACTTCATTAATCAGCCATTAACTGGTAACAACCACTGAGGTAACCCACAATCACACACTCTATGTATGGTTGCACTCTCTATGCACACATTGATGAATACCAGTAACGCCTGTAATAACTGGGACAAATGGGTCACAAGGAAGGTCATGCTTCTGGAATTGAAAATGAATGATGGAGAGGAAAATAGTCATTGATATTTTTATTATATTATTATCTGCATGTTGCCTAATATATGCACTGAACCTTTCTTAAACAATTGATTGAATGGTACGTTTAATTTGGATGCTAAAATGAAATATGTTTGTTATGGGTTAAAAAAAAATAATATTGATCCTATGTTACTACGTTCTCACTCAATACTCTTAACAGAGTATGCATATTTCCACAGAAGTAGAATGGCATAAAAACAAAACAAAAAAACTATAGTTAAATAAATCACACATTTTGGGGGTTTGTTTTTACATTGTGAAAGAAACCCGACACATTTAAAGCACATGGCCAGTCATTAACGTTAATAATATTAGTCGAATAAACACAGAATGAAGTATTATTATCCCAGTCGACAAACTAAACAACCGAACTAACTCTTATTACACATATAGACGTGGTGAATAAGAGAAGCTGCACAGGCTGCACGGCTAGCTTCCCTTCTCTCTCATCATGACACACACACACAGCCTCTCGTCCTACATCCCGGCTCCTTACTTGCAAGTTTCACGGTCATGTGGCTGGTGAGGCTCGACAGATGAAGCAGGTTATATGCTAATATAATGCTACATACGGGTTAGCTCACATACTTTGCTCGTGTTTCCCACAGCTAGCCTTGAGTGCACAGATAACAGGATATTTTCCCCCTTTCCTCCTCCAGCCATTCCTGTCTGCACGCTCACTGCTACGCATTCAGACTTACCAAAAAAAAAAAAAAAAAGAAGGAGCTCCAACTCTGTCAATTCCTTTGTCTGGGTTACGAGGGATATCCTTGGATGAAATGAAACTCGCTCTGAGGCTTCGTCATTAAACCTTCATGTGACCACCTGCGTGCGTCTGAAGTTATTTCAGTGTAAACGTACTGTGCGCGAGCTCGTAGCTGGCTTCCATCTGACACTCTTTCGGTAACAGTTATCTTCTCCCATCCCGAGGATTGGGTTAGTCCCGCCTCCTGGCTGATCTGATTAGTTTATAATTTATCGAACCGGCTCTCATTGGCTGCGGCTCATTTATGTCAAAGTGGGCTTTTAAAACTAGGTTGGTCCTCGTCGACTGGCGTCTGCGGCTTCCACGGCAACGTTGCCTCATGCGATGATGCACTTTTCATGGGCATATTAATGCCAGCCTTTTTATTGGCTGAATAGAGTTTACCCATAGACTAGTCATGCTGCAAGAAATCATAACATGAGTCATCAAAGTGGCACTATTCTGCAATGATTCATTTTTGGTGCAGCCGAGTGGTTATTGGGTCCTATTCATTTACAATACCATCAGCATGTCTAAGTCTATTTAAGAACGTTTCTGACGAGACACAACAATGATGCACACTTCGTCTGCATGCTTTCAGTCAGGAGGTAAAGGCCCCAAATCCCAAAGAGCCTGCACGGATTAAGTATATGATGCAAACGTGCAAATGCGTGTTTAGCAAGGTTTTCTGGTTGAAAATAAATGGAGATGTTCAGCACAGCCCAATCACGTCAGTGCCAGTTTAATGGACGTCAACAGTTTGGTGCACACCACCACCTGGTGGTAGACTAGTAAGACTAACGTTTCCGATGTTAAATCATTTTGGCTTTCAATGATGTGATCCATTTAAATCTGAGCATTTAGCCGGTACTGTGTGCCCAATGCAAAATACAATCCTAAAATGTTGATGTCTCTTTTCAAAACATGGCGCTGCCAGCCTATGGTGGAATGTAACCAACTCAACCACTGTGTTCAGTTTGGAAGAACTTCTACTTTATTTGATTATTACCAGGTTAAGCTACTTTATTTCTACTCTTCTACAGAAGAGGCAAATATTTCATTGTACTTTTTACCCCACGACATACATTTGACAGTTACAATTAATTTCCAGATTAAGATTTTACATTAAAAAAAGATACAGTATGATAATTTTATGCAAAATATTGTAACAACCCAACTGTAAAATAAATAAAAGGAGCTCTACCTCGACTAACTATTAGAATAAAATGATACTTAATAATTAATGCATTTCTATTAACGATCCCAAAATATAATACATAACACTCACGGTGGCCTTGTGTCTCTGTCATCAGCGCCTTTGGTATTTGATACAAAAATGTAGCATGACTTTCAATAATTTAGTATTTTTACATAGTATTTATTAAATAGTGGTATTTGTATTTTGACTTATGCCCGTGAACAGAACATTCTTCCACTATCGGATTCAATCTCTTGCTTGAGGCCACTTCAACATGGTGTATGAGTAAAATAAGGGGAAACACCTGTGTGCATAGACTTTTGGAGTTATAATGTGTAGTATGTCTGCATTATTGTATATTTTTATTTCCTTTCTGATGTATTGAAAGAGTTGCTCAGGCACTCAGAACAAACCTCAAGCACTGTCACACACACACACACACACACACACACACACACACACACACACGCAAACACCAGAGTAGAAAACAGGAGACCGGTGCCGTGACTTAACAGTTTAATGTAAATCCAAGACAAAGTGTGATTACATTTCTACACATATACAATATGCATATGTGAGCATACAAATTCTCATTAATAACTCGATTCACCTCGGAGACCGAAAAAATGATCAAAAGTAACAGTGAATAACAAGCTATAACATAGTTCACCACAACGCGAGCCCCTTCTCACCCTACAGTTAGTAAAGAGGACAATTAAAATAACTATATTCTTCTATTTGACGAAGCTGTTTGTCTGTTAAAATCCTCCTGTAAAATTTACAATGCTATCATTAGTTTTTTCGAAGCCTAATATAAATTCACTCCATTTTTCTACAACGAAAATGATTAAGAGAAGCACACAACATCATAATGGTAACACAAGCGCTTAGTAGCAAGTACTCAACTTCTTAGGAGGTTTAATTAATCCTTCTTCTTATTGTCAATATTATATTTATTTAAACATTCTATAAAGCCAGTAAAATATCCATTCTCATAACATACTTAATAATATTAGGCTAAGGAACAGGGTATACATAGAACGCTACAGATCAGAAGATTGAAATAATGAGACGTCACACCCCAATAAACAAAAGTAAATAAGAAAAGACAATTAACAGAGAAGTATACTAGGAAATACTGCAGCACACATTAGTTTTATCGACAAAGAATGAGATTTTACACCATTGAGAAACCAAACAGCAATGGAAATAAAAGGGGGTCAGGGTTTGATGCACTCTTAGGTCTTTAGAAAATGCAAATAATCTGATAAATCACTTGCATGAGTATTGCTGTGCAGAAGTTGTGCAGCAATTTACAATTTTGAGAATGTACCCAAAAGGAATTGTGACTGTGACATGACCTCTAGCTTTAGAAGAATATTTTTGTAGTGTAAACAGGAAAATCTGGCTTCGAATGTAGCTTTGGTCTACCACTTCTAGATTCCGTTTATTAACACCACAGAAATAACAATCTTTTGCTAGAAATCTCTCTGAAAGTAAGATGGGAAAACCTACATTTTTCAGTTATGTAAAGTAGGACCAAAGATCTTACAACACAGCAATTTGGGGGATTTAAAGTGGTACAAATGTATCCATATCCTTGCCTGGTTTTACATAAATTAGAACAAATTAAGATAGCAGGAAAACAATCGTATTTCAATCAGTTTTGGTTCTTAATTTCATTCATTTTGATCCCCTGACACCCTCTATCAGTGATGGCATCAAACCTTGACCACCTCACCCTGAATTCCCCCAAGGAATAGCCAGCAAAAGGAGCCGATCTCCTCAACGAAAAGTACAAAATAAAACAACCTATACTCTCATCCGAAAGGGCTTTAAGAATGCTCGTGTGGCTAGATTAGGAATTACCTGGTGACAGAGAGTACATCAGCTCATGATTAATCCACCTAACGCCTCTTCCTGACTCATGTACTTTGGGAGGCAGCTGCGACTTTGCCTAACGGTTTACACTGAAGCTCGTGCGGGTCAATGTTGCGGGTTGTCTGCTCTCCAAGTCACCTTGGAGGAGTTTGTCTGAAGACTAGTGTGGCACTGTGCACCCCTAACGCTCTCAGGAATGTTTCCCAGTGTTTCCACAGCTCCAGGAGGAGGAGGAATCACGATAACACCATGAGCAAAGCTGGAAGTTTGAGTGTATTTTATAGAAGAACGCCAGGCTTCACAGAGAGAGAGACACTGCCTTATTTAGTTTTTAAATGTCACCATGAACCTTTGGAGGTTTTGTTGGCTATTTGGAAGGCAGTGCTCTAACAGGAAAGTCGCTAGCTGGGAAGGCTCACCTCAACAACACAAAACATTTTTACACTCTACTTAAGCACATTTTGGTAATTGTAAGGTCACTCGATCTACGTTAATGCTCACATTTCTGATTCCCCCTTTTTTTATAAAACACAAAACATTGGTTATGTGAAACAGAGTAATAGACAAAGGTATGATACACATCAAGTCATTTCCCGCAATGTTGCGCATACAGGGCCTCTCTTAATTGGATCTTTCATTTGAGAAAATAGCAATTATTTGACATCCCCTAATCATGAGGATAGTAGTAGTTTTACATTACTTCTCTTACATGGGATTTTGCTGGATATCAGATCTATAATTATTGCATCATGCATGGCCACTTACGGTGTAGAAATTAAATGAATGGTCACCCACTGAGAAAGATCTAAAGCCATATCAGACGTCGCAGGTCACACATTACATTCATTTTGTGAGGGTGACCGTGGTTTTAAAGGTATAGTTGGTACATTTTTGATTAATTCATTTTTACAGGTCATTCTATTCCATGGCACGCTAATTTAAAACAAACTTTTTAGTTTACAAATTAATTTTCATACGACACCAATAAAGCTACAACATCAACAACATAAAAAAAAAACAACAACAACTGGCTTATCAATTTGGAGAGAGGTTTGATAATTATTGATCATCCAACCTAGACAGGTGTGAGGAGTAATGAGAATGAAACCAAACAAGCTTTCAAACAGACTGCAGCTCTTCTCAAAGTTGAACATCCAGATTCTAAACAAATTGATTACTGTGCTGTATGCTTTAAATACGTTAAATCGTCCTTGTGAACATGCATTTGCTTGGGGGGGATAAAACAACATGTCCTCAAAACTACTCATAAAGCCTTTAAAGATGAGACCAAAAGTTATTGCCTGTCTGCTGCTCTAGCAAAGCTGTGGAGGATTGCTCGTACTGTGCTGTACACGATCGGTCCGTTGAATTCTTTGGTGGGAGAAGTGAAAAGAAAGACCAAGTGTGACAACGCTATCCCCATGCTGACAGGAGACGGGACAGGACAGCAGTGTAGCATGGGTAACGCCAGATTCCCCTAAAACAGTGGAATGTTTCAGTAGTCTGTCTCATAACAGAGGAGCAGATTTCAGTGGATAAATATCTCCCTTATGCAGTGTGTGCTTAGGCCCCAATGACCTAGAGGAAATTAAGTAAATAAAATAAAATGAAAAGACAACAACAGAACAGAGAAGAATGATGTAACCAGTACTA